TGTGTGTGTGTGTGTGTGTGTGTGTGTGTGTGTGTGTGTGTGTGTGTCTGAGTCTGTGTCTGCATGTCTGTGTGCAAGCACTATTGATTGCTGGCTGCCTAAAATTCCCACCTCTGAACCATTGCTTTTCTTGTTGCTGGCTACGGACACCAGCCACTGGCTTGTGTGTTATGGTGACTCAGCCCAGCCAAGAGAAAGGCAGACACAGACCTGCTTTCCTCTCTTCTGGTTGTTTGCTATTGCCCATTTTGGTCTGCTGCCAAAGCCTAAACATTCAAGCAATTTCAAGATAGAGATTTTACAATTGGGTATTAGCCCCATAGCCCTGGAGGCATTTCTTTCATTCCCTTTCCCTCTATTTGAAAGGGAGGTCCCCTGTGGCTGCCAGGCCTCAGCAAGGTAGGGACTGGTTTGGGCGCCTTTCCTTGACCTTGCCGGGAATGACCTACCCTCACTGCATCCACCCCTTGCCTGAAGCTGCTTCCTCCTAGGGTTACCAGTCCCTTTACCTCTAAATCCCACAGCTTTCCTCAGTCTTTTCCTTCTTGAGCTCTCTGAAGTTCTTAGTTCTATTGACTGTTGCCTCTTCCCGGGCCCTCCAGCCTCGCGTGGCTTGGGCCACTGTCCTCCCAACTTTCCTCTTTCCCCTCTGACCATTCCTTCCCAGCCTCCTTTGCTTTGATCATCCTTGATCATCCGTGTTCTGCTAGCTTAGCAAGGATATTCCTGAGTGCTCTCTCCTGGTCCCTCCTCCTCTGCTCTCTGTCCTCTCCCTTGGAGGCTTCATCAAGGTGCTTCGGATCATCTCTGTGCAGACGATTCAGCCCTGAATTCCAGTCATGCATCATCAGGCTCCTTTTGAGCACCAGGCTTTGTGCTGGGTATCAGGGATACAAAACAGAACAGTCCTTTCCTTCTATTGGGAGGAAACAACCCATCCACTGAAAAGTCAATGGGAAATACATAGATAATTTCGGGGGTCAGGGAGACCCTAGCAAGTGCCCCCGAGCAGAACTAGCCTCCTGGTAGGGATTGAGAAGAGTGGAGGTGGGGAGGGAGTGCATTCCAGGTGGAAGAGCCAGCCAGTGCAAAGGCCTGGAAACAGGTGAGGGGCCAGGAGGCTTCAACAGTAGCCTTGAAGGAAGGAGCAGCCTAAAGCTGGATGGGGAAGGGCTTTAAAAGCCAAACAAACATAGGAATTTGGGTCTTATCCCAGTGGCCAAAGAGACCCCCTGGACCTCCCTACACAGGTCAGATCTGTGTTTTAGGAATGTCCCGTTGGCAGGCATGTGGGGGATGGGCTGGAGGAAGGGTGTGTGATGAGCTATAAGCAATACTGAGGATGTGGGGCAGAGAGGCAGGAGAACCAGGAGAGAGCAGGGCCCCAAAGCCCCAGGAAGGAGAGCCCAGTGGTCAGCTGTGTCTGGTGCTGCAGAGAGGTGAGGAAGGCTGAGGATAGAGAAAAACTAATGGAGAGGTCAGAGCGGCTCCAGCGGCCTGATGGGGGAGGGGACACAGGCTGGACTAGCAAGGGGAAGGAGATGGATTGTGAGCAACGGCTCACAATCAGGTATTGGTCTTTTGTATTTGACCAAAACGCCACATTTTACTAATAGTGTTCATGAGATCCCAGCCACAGAGCTGGGAGAGACCTTAGCAGTCATCTAATCTCACCCCTTCATTCTAAAGATGAGGAAACTGAGGCCTAGAAAATTGAAATGACATGTCCAGTGTCACACAGGCCAAACCAGGATTCAAACCCAGGACTTTGGACTGCAGATCCAGTGCTCTTACCATCAATGTTTCATTCCACATGGCTATTATGCCTACATCTGTCAGTTTCCAAATGACCCTGTCCAAATGTCAGTGAAAGTGTCCGATGACCATATGTGAGATGGTTGGGTTAATTTCAGTGTCTAAGTTTATTCACCAGCACCACACACACAGAGGATCTGCTAAGAATCAACATGGTCATCTGTTCTGTCTGAATAGGCACTTGGGGGCTGTGATGGACAGATCAGTAGACTTGGCAGGAAGACTCAAGTCCAAATCTAGCTTCAGATACTTACTAGCTGTGTGATCCTGGGCTGGTCATTTCACCTCTGTTTGCCTCAGTTTCTTCATCTGTAAAATGGTCACCTGTCTCCTAGGGTGGTTGTGATGTTTAAACAAGATAATCTCTGAAAAGCCCTTCGCACACTTGGACTTGCCACATGAACGTAAGCTATTACTCTTACTAATAGCATGGGAAGGTCTTTAGGAGTGAAGATGTAAGACGTGATTTGTAGGAGATCTCTACATCTAAACAGGAGTATCACATTTTAGTTCCTTCCCTTGTGACCTTGAGATTGATTGTATTTTTTCCTCTTCCATAGGCCTTATCTCAAAGACCAGAAACAGTGTTCAAATCCACCAACCTCTAGATCTGTAAGTAGAAATTAATTGCAATATTTCAGAATTGGAAGGGCCCCCAGCCATGTAGTCCAACTATCTAGAAAAGATTCCCTGGGGCAGTTAGGTGGCACAGTAGATGGAGCACTGGCCTTGGAGTCAGGAGGACCTGAGTTCAAATCAGACCTCAGACACTTACTAGTTAGCTGTGTGATCCTGGGCAAGTTACTTAACCCCCATTGCTTCCAAAATAAAAAGAAAAGAAAAGATTCCCCCCAGAATGGCCACCCGTCCTTCTCTTGAAGATCTCAGGTGGGGAGAGGCTTCCTCTTTCTGGGCGCTGCCTGGCCCTCCTTGGGCCAGCATACTTCAGACTGCTGGTGATGTTTTTTCTGACAACCTTGAGCCCCTTTGCACCTTCCCCACGTCGCTCCTGGTTCTACTTTCACAGTCCAGCCAAGACCTTTCAGCGTCATAGGCAGCTGCTGTCTCCCCACATCTCCCAGCTAACTGTAAAGCCCAGTCCTTCACCTGAGCATCATCGAGCAGGAGGTGATGGCTCTTCACCAGCTGGACTGTCCTCCAGTGGACCCTGTCCCACCTAGCAGTGTTTGGCTTTAGGTGGGGCAGCCCTCCCAACCCATCTCTAGTCCAGGTGTGATCTGACGGGGTTGCCCCCAGCAGGGCTACCACCACCTTCTCCTGGGGGAGGGGCTTCTCTCAGCGGATTTGGTGGTTGCCAGGCTTCTGTTGTTCTAGGCTTTCACCACCAGCCTCTGCTCGGTCTAAGCTCTAGTATCACTGATGTGGCTGTTGTAAGACCATGCCATGATTTTGTAATTGTATTCCTCATCCATCACCCAGTCTTGCTTCCAGCTCCTAGACATATTTTTTAAAAGCTGGAGTTTGGGAGTTCCCTGTGTCTGGATCTCTTTAGACAATTGCCCTTTTTTCCTCTCATCAGAATTGCCTTCAGAATTTCATTCTTAAGAGTGTCCTATCCATCCTGGGCTGACTTCTTCCATTCACTTGATCCTACCTTTCTTTTTTTTTGTTTTTTTGTTTTTTTGTTTTGTTTTGTTAGGCAAAGGGGTTAAGTGTCTTGCCCAGGCTCACACAGCTAGTAAGTGTCAAGTGTCTGAGGCTGCATTTGAACTCAGGTCCTCCTGACTCCAGGCCAGTGCTCAATCCTACCTTTCTTTTTCTAAACCAGGGAGTCTTAGCCTTTTCAGTGCCATGGACCCCTTTGGCAACCATTTGGTGACACCTAGGGTCCCTTTCTCAGAATCATGTTTTTAAATGCTTAAAATAAAATACATAATATTTTACAATGGTCATCTATAAATAACTTAGCTATTCCCAGCAATACAAAGATCCAAGACAGTTCTGAAGGGCCTATGATGAAAAATGCTATCCACCTCTAGAGAAAGAACTGATGGAATCCAAATGCAGATCAAAGCACACTTTTTTATTTTATTTTCCTTGGGTTTTTTGTCTGTGTTTTTTTTTTTTTCACAACACAACTAATATGGAAGTATGTTTTTCATAACTTCATAGGCATCACTTTTATCAAATTACTTGCCTTCTCAATGATGATGGGGGTGTGAGGGGGGATGGGAGAGAATTTGGAATTCAAAATTGTAAAAAAAACAAAAGTTAAAAATTGTTTTTACATGTGATTGGGAAAAAATAGAATAATAAAATTCACAAATACATTTAAATGAGTAAGATTTCAAAGGAAGCCAATTATATTGAAAGTTATTTTAAAAATGGTTTTGTTTGTGTTATTTCACAGACCCCAAGTTAAGAATCTGCTCTAAACCCTTTCAAAGCTGCTCTCCCAAAATCTATACTTGATTTTTTTCATTCTTTCAACACGCATTCATTAAGCACCTACTATGTGCTAGACACTGTGCTACATACTGGGGAAACAGACAAAAATGAAATAGTCCCTGCCCTCAAGGAGTGTACATTCACCTGGGGTGGAGGTAGCTGGGAAGCTGTGAGATGATGGCGACCATGGGGGACAAGTGCACAGATACCAAATGTATCGATTTCCAGGGTCAGGGGCAGCACTCGCTTTGGGCAGTCCAGCTAAACCGTGTCTAGTTGGTGTCACCTGAGCTAAGCAATCCAGGAGGCATAGATTCTATGAGGGGGTGACCACTTAACCCAAAGCCTCCCATCATTTCCATCCCAGAAGGTGAGAATCAAATCCAGAATAGAAGTTCCCTCCTTAGTTCCTCTACCTTTTGAAGGATGAAGGTGGAGTGAAGGCAAGTCAGGTCATTAGCTGCTTCACTTTCTGCTGAAAATGTCCAGGCAATCCAACTGCCCCATCACCAGGAGGTCATGCCTCTGTGCCAGGCCTGGGAGCTGGATTCCAGCGTCTTCAGCAAGTTCCTCCCCCTGTCCAGGTAGTCTGTGGTATAAGCCAATGAAAGTATGGCTTCTGTTTGTGCTTCCATCGATTTTTACCCAAATGCCAGGTTTCTCTCCTCTGGTTCCTAGACTTCCCAACAAAGGTGTAATTTCTTAACAGGCTGTGCTCCTCTACCCTACTCCCAAATTTTCACTCCACCCCTCTGGTTCCTGGATTTCCTCACATGAGTATGTCTTCACATCCAGTGCTCCTCACTCCCCTTTCACCTATCCTGCATCCCACCCTTCCAAAACCAAAGCCCAGGTGAAAGTCTCATCCTCCAAGTCCCAGTGACAGCTGTGAAGTCAAATTTGCCTCCTTCCATTAGGACCTGTCATTGACCCTGGGTGGTTTCTGTACTTTGTAAGTTTATATATAGACATGAAGCTACAGAGGGTTTTTAAAGTCCACTTTAGAACTTTTTATATGGACCAAGAAGTCATTTGCTTAACTATTGGGAGTGTCAGGGTGCTTCCTGTGTCATTAAAGACATATAGGCCCAATGACAGATCACACACCTGCGCCGATCGGACCAGCCTCACTGAGGTCACAGAGCTTCTCACCACCTTGTCTTCAGCCTTGGCGGCTCTTTGAGACCATCTGCTCGGCTGCAGAGGAGTCCCAATTACAAATTCCTGCAGTCTTGAAGTAAATGACCTACAGGTCATTGATATAAAACCTTCAGCAACCTGGAGAATATTTGTGGCAGAAATAAATTTCCCGTAAATATACTTGATACTAACATCAAGTGCTAACAAAAGCTTAATAGTTTGCTTTGTACCAATGCCTACAGGAAGATAAGGACTCCTTACTGGGATTTCCAAGTCACTAAACACTAATAGACGCCTTCTGAATTAATTTATTGTACGTAATGAGATTGTAGATGAAGCGGTTTATTGAAGAGAATACAAAAATTCCAAGTTATGTTCCCTCCCCTGAGGAGTTTGTAATATAGTAAAAGAAGTATGACAGACATAGAAAGAGAATAATAATTATAATAAAGGGCAGGAAATTATAAATGCCCTCTGAGTGGTACAGAAAAAGGCAATTCAGAGAAAAGGACAAGATCACGTTGGCTTGTGATGAGATTAGATCTGGATCTTGAAGGTAAGAATAAAATAGATAGAGTGTATTGGGCATCACGGCACAGTGGGTAGAACCCTGGACTTGGAGTCAGGAAGATCTGATTTCACATCGGGCCTTGGACACTAGCTGTGTGACCTTGGGCAAGTCACACCCTCTGCCTCAGTTTCCTCACCTTACCTCCCAGGGTTGTTTTGGGGATCAAATGAGATATCTGTAAAGTGCTAAACAAATGCTAGCTGTTATTCTTATTGTTATTATTATTATTATAGCCACAGCAGAAAAGCAGAAAAACACATGGAATCTTGATGGCCATGAGTAGATCATTTGGGGTAAAAATTGAAGATTCATGTCAGTGAATGATGGGAAATAAGACGAGAAACTTTGGGGGCCAGACTATAGAGAGCCTGAGTGCCTAGCTAAAGAGTTTAGACTTTATTCCATAGAGAATGACTGTAGGACAAGAAGGAGCTACAAGAAGAAACATTGCAAAGGGTGGGCTGGAGCAGAGGGACAGGGAGGTCAGAGGTGATACTGAGATGTCGAACCTCAGCGATGCCATTGTTAGGAGAAAGAGAGAAGCCGAGAGGGGGCGGTGGCCTTGGCACAAGATGGCGGGCTCAGTTGTGGGCATCTCCAGTTCAACAAGCGTTGGTTGTACTCAGACGTAGAGCTTCAAAGACAAAAGTGAAGGAGCCCCGTGATGAGTTTGAAAAGGTCCAAGAAGCGCCAGGGTCAGAGCTAAAGAGAGAGGTGGGGGCTTCTGTGCAGACTAGTATTAATTGTCAGGAGGGCACCACGCCCCTGGGTTGTACCCTCCGGCAGCCCCTCTCGTGTGCAGATTCCACACAAAGCAGCACAAATGTCATGACCTGTTTTCTGCCTTCCTTGCCCAGTCCCAGCTAGGCTAAAGGTAGGTTCCTGAGCTCTGTGACTTGCCTGTACGTGAGAATATCCTCATTTTCTCTAAGCTAAAATAAGTCAAGTTAGACATTTAGCTGGGTTTTTTAGCTTGTCTTTGAATAGATTATCTTAACAAAGCCATTGTTGCTATTATGCCTTTATCTTTCAGACTGCTAGACCCAAAAATGATGCAGGGAGATGGGCCCAGTCTCATGCTGGTGGGAGACCCACTGCTAACGTGCTCCAGCCAGGATCTTCCAATGTCAATGGATCCCAAAGGCCAAAGCCAGCAGCAGCAAAAATTCCGAGGAAAGGACCAATTACAGGCCCCCCTTCCTCCGAGCCAGACTCTAAACTCCCAGGGAATACCCACATCCACCCTCCGCAGAAAGTGGCATCTTCTACTGCGCTTAAGCTGACTAGAAAGCCTCTGCCATCAAGTGAGAGCCAGTGTATGAGGAGGTCCTCAGAGCAGGAGACAACAGCAAATCACAGAATTGCCGGGTGGATGGACTCTGTGCCCGAGCTCCACACTGAAAACCAGCTCTTAGATGACTTTGCAAAGGAGACAAACAAAGAGAACTGGCCTCTCCCAGCCACTGTGGAACTAAAGAGGAAACCAGAGTCTGGGTTTTGTAACACAGCCAAATCAAAGGGCAATCCGCACAATCCCAGCAAAAGAGGTCTGGCTCCAAAGCAAGCTGGGGACAAAGGTGCCAAGAACAGCGACCTTCGGAAAGACCAGGTTAACAAACCACTTGTTCACAAGATTCAAGCCTGGGTTCCCGCAGGAAATTCCCAGCAGCAGCTCCCCAAGGGGGCAGGTTGTGAAAGACCAGGAGACAAACATCCAAGGACGGTTCCTTCTCATCTGGTTCAGAGCCTTGCCAGGACTCAAGAATCAAAGAAACTAGTAACCAGGAAAGAGGTTGGAAAGGTCAACAAAGATGAAAAAGAAGGTCGCAATGGATCAAAGTTACAAGGAAATGCTGTCATTAAACAGACTATCGAAAGAAGACTCCCAAGGACAAATTCAGCGGTGCCACAGGTGGGAAGGTTCAATCGATGTGAAAGTGGTCAGCAAGATCTAAGGCTGATGCAGCCTTGTCCCAAAAGGAAGTCATCTGTAAGGGTGCTGCCATCGAGAACCACGACAAGACAGCCTCACCTGATGTGTGGCACCTCGAAAGGCCACACACATGGACTTACAAAGAATCAGAGCAATTATAGCTTGAAAAAAGAGCCACAGACTCTGGACTCTAAGACCAAAAGGACTGTGCCCTGGAATTATTCTGTGAGAAGCTTGAACCCCACAGCTCAACCCAGTGTCGGCTTGACGAAGCCGACCACAAGTGAGAGAGGAATGAGGCAGCCAGCCTTGCTGGAGGCACCCAGTCCCCAGGTCCAGCCAAATACCCAGAAGAAAAGAGGCAAGGAGGACCGAAGGTATTGGGCTTGGCTTCATCTTTAAGTGGGCAGCAGTATGCATATATCCGTATAGGTGATATTCCATATTACTGTATTTCCCTTACCTTCCATGGGTCAGAAATTAATTCAGGGGGTGGGGAGAATTGACTTAAATAGTAAGTATAGATATCAACATTGATTTTTTTTCCCTCTTAAAAATTAAAGTTGTGTACATTTTCATGAGATTAATTTGTACACAAAGATATGGTAAGTGATGATGATACTGTTGGCTAGACAAGTAATTGGGTTTTTTTTTCCCTTTGTATCAGTGATGACTATTATTCATGGAAAGTAAAACCTGTTTTTCAGCAGTCTATCAGCAATACTGAACAGGGTACAAGTTAGCTTCAAGTAGACAATTGTAAAGCCTGCTAAATGGCCCTCCCTGCCTCCGGTCTGTGCCAGGTGGGTCCCTCCATCCCACCACTGCCTAAGTAATCATCCTAATTGCTCTGACAATGTCACTTTCAAAAGCCTTCTGCGGTTGCCTATTGCCCACCGAATGAAGGATGAACTCCTGGTCCTGGCATTCAAAGCCCTTCCACAGTCCACCCCAACTGTCCTTTCCAGCCTTTCTTGTACTCTCCCCTCCCAACACTCTTTGTTCCCCTACCCACCCACATCCAGCACTCTCCTTCCACGTCTGCTCTTTTCTTCTCCCATGCCCATAATCGACTCCCCTCACCCTCTGCTAACTCCCTAGGAAGTGGTTGTAGTCTATGGGAAAGAGCACTGGGTTTGGAGTCAGGGGATTAATTTTGACTGCAAACCCACATCTCAATCAATCACTTGTTTTCAAATCCCAGTACAGTGGATACAGTGCAAGACTTGAAGTCAGGAAGACCTGAGTTCACATCCTGGCTGACATACTTATTTAACCTCCCTAAACCTCAGTTTCTTCATCTGTAAAATCTGGATAATAGCACCTGCCTCACCCTTGTGATGATCAAATAGGTGAACCTATGTAAAGTGCTTTGCAAACCTTCCATAAATGCTAGCTATTATTAACATCATTATTATGTTTATCATCACCTGGTTTAAACTTAGTTAAGTCATTTTTCCTACATGCCTTGGTTTCCTTATCTGGAAAATGAGAGGATCCAATTTCCTGATTTCAGAAAGGCACCTCTGATCTTATGAAGTCCCTCTCTCCCTTCAGGGTCCAACTCAGATGTCACCTCCTTTGGGAGGCCTGCCCTGACCCATTATGCCTCTCAAATGAAAATAACTTTCTTATGCTTCAAGTTTCTCGTGACATTCTGCCTGGGATTCTCCTTTGCACTTCTCACTTTCCCTTATATCAGTAATATGCATATTAAGTTACAAATTCCTTGAAAGAAGAAGCTGTGTTGTACCTGTCTCTTCATCTCCAGCATCTAGCAAGTAGTAGATGCTTCATAAGTGTTTACCAAATTGGCTCATTTCAGCATCTTGTCATCTCTGTGGCTGATCCAGAATACCAGGACTCTCGAAGTCTTGTCCCAAAAAGAAATCAGGCTCATAGCTCAGCAAGAATATTAATACCTGAGTACTTCAGATGTTAATTGTGTTAGCTTGATGGATCTACTGTTCAGGACAGGGTTCTAATTGTGAGTCCAGAATTGACTACACACACAGACTTACAGTGCTATGGAGTAAATCGAGGTTTACTGCTAGCATCCATCTGAACAAGCATCAATCAGTAAATAAGCATTAAGTACCTACTGTGTGTCAGGGCCTGCGCTAGATGCTGGGGATATGAAGAAGGGCAAAAGACAGCTCTTACCCTCCAGGAGCTTCCATTCTAATGGGAGAGAGACAGGAAGTACATGTAAAAATAATTACAGCATTAATGTAAAGTTGATACAAAAGTATGCAAAGTAGTTCAATATAGCAAGCTGTTAAAATAACCAGCTCGTAGTACCAAGGGACCTCTTAGGTGGCCATCTGTTCTCTGCTTTAAGGCAGGTGGGGCAATCTGACACCTTTGCCACCAGTCAATATAATAACCCACTTTTGTATGGTGCTCTAACACGTTTACACGTATTATCCCATTTGATCCTCACAACAGGCCCTGGAAGGTGGGTCCTGTTGTTATTCCCATTTTGTAGATGAGGAAACCAAAACTTGAGAGAGGGTCTTGCCTAAGGCCATACAGCCAGCGAGTATCCAAGGCAGGATTTGAACTCTGCTCTTATTAACTTTAGGTTTTAACAATCTATCCACTGTGCCACCTGGCCTGAAACCCTGGCTGATGGTAATATACTATTCCCCATCACAGACTTTTGCCTTTTTTGTTTCTTTCTCTACCTTTCTCTCCCCAGTCTCTTTCCAACTTCCATTCCTATTCCTAAAGCCTGCCAGTGGTTTGCATTCATGACATTTAGTACTAAAAAGATTGGCTGCCCAGAGTCTAATGTAGTTGTTGGGCAAGAGCTGTCAGGGAGGGACTTGGGCTTGGAACAAGGATTAGTGAACCTTTTTTTTTTTTTTCCCAATTCTTGCATTTTAACTTTCTGAAGACCGACATTACTTTATAAAATATTTGGTTCTAATGGCACTTTGGTTTAAATCACTGGTGGGCTACAGTACAGTTAGATTACAGTTAAGGGACTTGGGGGAGTTTCATAAAAGAATAAAGCAGGCCAGTAATGCATAAAACAGTAGATCTTTATTATGGCACATTTCAACTTTTACAAGTAAGAGGACCAGGAGCATGGTGAAACCGGGACAATGAGAGGTGAATACAACCAGATCTCAGTCACCAGAGGATTACATTAGGTAAACTCTGTTTTAACCCTCGTTCCATTCACTGGAATATTGGAAGCAGTGGTCTTCAGACCTCAAGAGCAGTTGAAAAGAGGTTAGCAATGTTCCTTCAGAGAGGCTGTCCTGGGACTTGTCATGCCTGGCTCTGCCAACCTCTCACTCCTGGCCAATGTATGGGCCATCTAGCTTCCCATCACCTCCACAACAAGGCAGCCTGGTGTCAAGAGTTTTATAGGGATGGGCAGCTTCTTGATAAGGTATATCCCACCTCTGATGTCATAGGCAAGTAAAAACTAGATATTAGCTAATGTAAGAAACCCTGCTGACCTATGTAGGGAGTACAAGCATGAGATATGGAAGAATATGGCAGGGAAGGAGATTTAAAGTAAGTGAGGGAGATTTCCAGAAAAGTTATGTCAACTGTTGGATCCAAGAGAGGCCCAAAGCTCTGAGTGTTTTAGACTGACATTTGTGTGTGTGTGTGTATGTGTGTGTGTGTGTGTGTATGTGTAAATATATATATTCTCATTTGATGTCAGAAAGGTTTTATGTTTATTTCATCTGTACTAGTTTCTACATTTAAGTTACATAAGATAATACAATGACTGTATTGACATTGGGCAGAAACATCAGATAACAGTTGTCTCAGTGATACCAAAGTTAAATGTAGCTTGAGCACTGAGGAGAGGTCTCTGAAGGGCTCCAGTGGTCTTACCCTATTAGTACAATTAGAGTATTAGTTTTCAGCATAGAAAGCTGGAGAAAACCTGGGCCAGGGGTAGGGAACCTTCGGCCTCAAGGCCACATGTGGCCCTCTAGGTCCTCGGGTGTGGCCTTCTGACTGAGTCCAAGTTTTACAGAACAAATCCTTTTATTAAGGAGATATGTTCTGTGAAGTTTGGATTCGGTCAAAGGGCAACACTTGAGGACCTAGAGGGCCACATGTGACCTGAAGGCCGCAGGTTCCCCACCCCTGTGCCTGGGCCTTAGGAGGTTTGAGAGAAAACCTGGTAGCAAGGGAGGGGGCAGGAGGGAGCAGGGATGAGGAGCTGGTGCTGAAGGGGAGTACCAGCTGAGGGGAGCCGATAAGTGGGACACAGACCCTTGTTGCTTTAAAGACAGGTTTGGGAGGGAGGGCAGGCCTGCAGTTGATCATCTTAATCATAGTTGACATAAGGACGAGGGATTAGCACAGAGATTGTGGTCTCAGAGACGGGACATCTGCTAACCCTGGCTACATCTTGGCTTTCCAGCCCCTGCCCCCAGGTGCAAGCAGACTTAGGGGCAGACAGGCCAGAAAGACACACAGCAAGCACCTCATGAGCACAGACACCATGATTCCCCTGAAGTAGCTTCTGAAGGCAAGACACAGGGCCATCTTCAGTGGAGCTCACGAATGCAGCGCAGGAGAGAGATTCCCAGGGGCCCTTGCTGCCCAGCCTGGTAATGCCCACACCATTCCCTAGTTCTAACCCCGTGACTGATTTCTGTTAAATACACTAGCAGCCTTCTCCCTGTTTCCTTAATTAAGCACTTATATTACATCCCCAGGTGGAAGTGAGTCAGTCAATAAGCATTAATCCAGCACCTTCTAGGTGTCAGGCACTGTGCTAAGTGCTGAGGATACAAAGAAAGGAAGAAACACTCCTGCCTTCAAGGAGCTAACATTTGGATAGGGGCAGTAACATGGAAAATTGTTGTTGTTCAGTCGTTTTCAGTCAGGTCTGACTCTCTGTGACCCCATTTGGGGTTTTCTTGGCAAAGATGCTGGACTGGTTTGCCATTTCCTTCTCCAGTTCATTTTACAGATAAGGAAACTAAGGCAAATAGTTTAAGTGACTTGCCCAAGGCCACACAGCTAATAAGTGTCTGAGGCTGGATTTGAACTCATGAAGATAAGTCTTCCTGACTCCAGGCCCAGTGCTCTTTGCACTATGGCGCCACCTAGCACCCAACATGGAGAACACCTAGGTACATACAAGACACATAAAGCATAGAGAAGGTCCCATCAGTGGGAAGGCACCAGCAGTGAGGACATCAGGAAAGGAATAGAAAAGACAGGGGGTGGGACTTGAGCTGAGTCTTCAGGAAAGGCAGGAGGTGGAGGTAAAGGGGAGCCCTCTAGGCCTGGGAAAAAGGAAGGGCAGTGAGCAGGCAGCCTGCCCCATCTCTCCCTCCTCACCCTTCTTGCCGGGAGCAGCACTTGGACAGAGCCGAAAGGATTGGGAGATTGTGACAGGTGGCGTTGGGGGCAGAGGGCACAGCCTGGCATAGGGAATGGACTTAAGCAAAGGCACGGACGGGGAGCGTGCGGTTCGTAAACACCCTTGGCCTCTGTGCTGTAAGCAAGTGTGAGAGAAGGCTGCTCTGCAGAGACCGTGCGGATTGTAGAGCCTAGAATGCCAGGCTAGAGAGCTCGGACTTTATTTGGCAGCAAATAAGAGACTCAGGGAAAGGGCTGATGACGGCAGGGATGTGGTCACATCTATGTATAAGGAAGATGAGTCTGGCACTAATTTGAAGGATTGGTTAGAGGCAGCTAGCCAGGTGGCACAGTGGAGAAAGAGCGAGATTTGGGGTCAAATTCAGCTTCAGACACTACCCGGCACAAAGGTGTGATCCTGGGCAAGTCACTTAACCTCTGTTTGCCTGAGTTTCCTTATCTGTAAAACGGGGATAATAATAGCACCTGCTTCCCAGGGTGGTTGTGAGGATCAAATGTGATGTTTGTATAGTGCTTTGCACACCTAGAGAGATAACGGCTGTTATCACTTCTTTGGGTGTCCGAGGCTCCCTGGGGAAGGGAGGGCAAGGCTGAGCACCTAAGAACTTGACCCACTCTTGAACCCAGGTTCAGGGTGCAGTCTTGCAGGCTTGGCATTGAGTAGAGGTTGAGGGGCTGCAGAGAAAGGGGAGGGGTCACACAGAAGAGAATCTGAGAAATTATTTGCTTCTTAACGTGGATTTTCTTGTAATAGCCCTGGCATCGATGGGGCACTGAGCACATGTATGCTTAGGGCATGAGCCTGCCTGCCAGTAATCATCGCCTGAGGGCATTGGATTGAAGCTCTGTCACCAAATGCTGTTTCTGGAGAGTTCCTGCATATGCCTGTAAAGACTTAGCCCTGAGGGGGCAGCTAGCTCTGGCCTTGGAGTCAGGAGGACCTGAGTTCGAATATGACCTCAGACACTTGACACTTGCTAGCTATGTGACCCTGGGCAAGTCACTTAACCCCAATTGCCTCAGGGGAAAAAATAAAAAAAGACTTAGGCCTGGGGGGAGGGGGAGGGGAGGGCTAATAGATTTCCATTAATCTCTTCTGGTTCTGCATCAACCTCAATTTCCCTGATATCCCTTCTCCCTTCCCCCTTCCCCTTCTCAGAGCCCTCCTTTAGCCTTCTGTTTTAAATCCCACAACAGGAAAAAACTGGAAGAATGGCTGGCATCCAAAGGGAAGACCTATAAACGACCCCCGATGAAGTTTCTCGCACAAAACAAGAACATGCAGAAATTCAACCTTTCCTTCTGGAAGAGCATAAGAGAGGAGGAGGAGGAGACGAAGACAGCAGAGCTGGACCTTTCCAACAAAATTAAGAGCTCCCTGGCGGAGTGCCTGAAGCTGGTGGAAGAGGTGAGTGGGAGCCGCAGCTGGCCTGGGGCACCGCCCCCGAGGCAAAGGGGGGGAGGAGGAGGGGGGGGGGGGGGGGGTCACCGCCTCTAACCTGTGGCCTTCCCTGGCTTTAAGGGAAACCAGAAGGCCCTGGTTTGTAGTGGGTGTCCTGGCTATAGATAGACCACAGCTGCCTGGGGAGGCCACACTGACCGATCAGAACCGTTCCCTTGTTCACATTCAATTTAGCACCTGACCCGGAGCTCTGTAAGTATTTCAGGGTGCTTCTGGGGAATAGCCAGCCCTTTCTTCAGTGAGGTGGGCATTATGCTCCTACCTCCTGCGACCACAGGCAAGAAAGGTGTTAGCACGTGGTTTGGGGGAGGTGTTAATTTAATGAGCCAGAACCTATCAGAACCGGAGCTAGAGATGGCTCTGGTGGAGGGAAGAGTGGGAAAGGGAAGGGCCCAAAGTGGCACCGATCCTCTAGAGAACAGGCTGCCCCGGGAGAGGGAGAGATGAGGAGAGGGTGTTTCTGGCCGTGGGCACTAGGCCAGTTAGAGCTTCAAGCTCAGAGTTCTCCTGGGAGAGGTTCGGGAGGTGACTCGGAGCCGCTCACGGAGGGGGCTGACACAGGGGGATCATGGGAGGAAAACCAGAAAGGACTCTGCTCTTTGCAAGGTCCATGACCAGCTGAGATTTTGTTTTGTTTTGGTTTGTGTTTTTTTGGTGAGGCAACTGGGGTTAAGTGACTTGCACAGTCACACAGCTAGTGAGTGTTATGTGTCTGAGGCTAGATTTGAACTCAAGTCCTCCTGACTCCAGGGCTGGTGCTCTATCCACTGCACCACCTAGCTGCCTCTGAGATTGTTTTTAAAGGTGTGTACATTAGATGGCGGCCAGGGCAGGTAATGTGAAAGGATGGCCCCACTCTGGACAAAGAGGGTTAGAGGTGCTGGTGACGAAAAAACAAGATCCCCATTCTTGGCTAGCTCGGCTTAGCAGAGGAAAGCAGGGTCAAAGCAGGAAGGGAGCTGTTGCTCCGTTCGAATGGGATGGTGATGACAACGACCAGAGAGAAAGCTGAGCTCCTCCATTTGGGCTTTGCTTCTGGTTTTTCTGCCAAGGGAAAGGCTCTTTGGAATAGAAAAGACAGAACCGAAATAACTAATGGATAGTTAGCAATATGCAAGATGAATAAGGAGACAGTGAGAAAGCCCAGATGACAGCCTTCCTGGGGTACCGAGTGAACTAGTGGGTAGGATTGCTGAGCAGTCATCAGACCCGCAGAAGTGAGGGGCGGCGGGTGTGGAACGTAGCACACCATTGGTCAGATGTGCTCGGCTGACTTTACCTTCTCTCTACTTTTTTATTCTTCATTACAAGGAGTGGTTTGCTGGCTAGGGAGCGATTCAGAATATTCAGAAATTAAGGTGACGTAAAGTGACATAAAAACAAAGGGCATCAAATAAAATTTTAAGGTTCAACAAAAATAAGGTTGGGTGTTTTTTTTTTTAAGTTATGGGTAATGGGAGAGCTGCCAGCCAACTAGAAAGGGATGAAAATCTTGTTGTTGATGTTGTAAGGGACACGGGGAGAGAGTGGAGAATGGAGTCTAAGTCTAAACTAAGCCAATGAACTTGACTTCAATCCTTGGCAAAATTCTGGAACGTACTATTAAAGGGTAGTTAATGGACAAACTAGAAAAGGAAGCAGCGATTAGCAAGAGCTCGGATGGCTTCGTCAGACCATGTCACATCCTCCTTCCTCTCAATAAAAGGGGGAGGGAGGAGAGTACTTTGGAAACACTGTTGTATACATTATTAGGAGAGTTGGAGTTCATCCAGAAATGCCTGCAAAAACAAAAGCAATCCATAAAACTTGAAAAAAAAATCCCATACAGGTTGTGCCTGAGTAAACCTGCCTGCTCCTGTGCTGCCATCACTGCTAGGTATTGCAGTCCTTTAAAATGTGTGGGATCTTTGTCCCCCTAGGGCGTGCACTCCGAGGAGATCCTGGCTATACTCTCTGGCTTTCCCGAGGCAGAAAAGTTTGCCACATTCTGGATCTGCAAGGCCAAGCTACTGGCGAGTACAGACAGCTCGGAGGTGATAGGACTCTACGAAGCCGCTGTTCGCTGTGGGGCCGAGGTGAGTGTTCTCTGAGGGCAGTTCCTTCTTCAGGTACCTTGCTCTGTGACCAGCAAAATTCATCTGAGCAGCACATTCACAAAACCAGACTTCTTCCTGCTGTCTAAAAACGGTGTTTGTACCTTTCATGTACCAATTCAAAGAAGGATGACCATGGGGATAGCTGGGTGGCACAGTGAATAGAGCACCGAGCCTGGAGTCAGGAGGACCTGCGTTCAAATCTGGCCTCAGACACATAACACTTACTAGCTGTGTGACCCTGGGCAAGTCACTTAACCCCCATTGCTTCAACCAAAGAAAAAAAAAGGATGACCACCTCCCAGGGCTGTTGTAAGGCTCCAGTGAGAGGATATTTGTAAAGCGCTTAGCCCAGTGCCTTACACACTGTAGGTGCTTAATAAATGCTTGTTCTCTGGGCACTTGGGCTACCAAAAGTGTGTGGGTGTAATGGAACCTGAGTGCCAGGGAAGTTGGCTTCCCCTTTCTGCTCTGCTGCATGACCTTGGGCTGGGAGTCGCCCCTAAAGTAAAAGGTTTCATCTGAGTGATACCAAGGCACTTTCCGGCTCTAAGAGTTGATCATTTTAAGACAGGAACCAATTTGAGGGGTTTTAGTGACTTCACATATCTCACAGTCTGGCATAAAGTTTGTTAAACATGTTTATGCCGCAGTGCAGCATTTGTGTGGAGCCAGACTCCTGATATGATTTGGTTTTTGGTTTTGTTTTGGTTTTTTTCCAAGGCATTTGGGGTTAAGTGACTTGCCCAGGGTCACACAGCTAGTAAGTGTCAAGTGTTTGGTCTGAGGCCGGATTTGAACTCAGGTCCTCCTGACTCCAGGGCTGGTGCTCTATTCACTGCGCCACCTAGCTGCTCCTGGAATTTTTATATAGAGATAGAAAAGGCTGTTGACTACTTGTAAAAACCCATGTAAGATGGTTGACAAATCTCCCTCATACATGAATGTAGTCCCAAGGACTAACATTGATACTTAGAGTTGACATGCAGACTCCTTCCATGCCCATGGTGTACCTGGAGCACAGTTCTGCTGTTCTGAGTGACCATCCAGATTTGGTGCAATGGAAAACAGGATAGATTTGGAGTCTGAGGCCCTGGGTCCAAAGCCCCGCTGTGCACTTTCCCACAGAAACAATGTCGCACTCCTGCCCAAGGAATCAGCATCAAGTAAGGACACAGGTTATGTGACAAGTCGGGTCACCCCTGTGGGCCTACTTCCTCATAACTGGAATGAGGGACTGAGTGCCTGTGTGAGGTGCCTCTGAAGCTCAGGCAGGCCTCAATCTGCTCCTCTGTGACATTGTGAGGTCCTCAGTCCTGTGACTTTGTAATCACACCTCCACAGCAAGATGGCTGCAGGGGCACCTTCCCACTCGGGGTCTGTGAGCCTCGGGTTCCTGGAGGCCTGCCATCTTCAATTCGATGACGCTTTCTTTCAGAGTCAGGATCGATTAGATGCCCAAAGAGGGGGCAGGGAGGCAGCAGTGCTCCTGGGGGAATGTTGCTCCAATTTGAGAATGCAAGTCTGGGGAAAACAGCAATTTACAGAAATTCCCTTTGAAAATCCACTTCTCAGGAAGACATCTCCCTCCTTAGAAGTGCGAGATGCCTGGGTTCTTCTCGTGCTTCCATTATTCCTTCATTATTCCCATGTGGCAGGGACATTGGATTTTTTTTTAAGTTATAGCTTACGGCTTTTTAGTTACAGCGTGACAAGAATAAAAGTGAAACATATCTATGCATATATACATATGCGTGTGTACACACGTACGTGTGTGTGTGTGTGTGTGTGTGTATGTGTGTGGACATGCACACAATTATTTATTCATTTGCTGCAGAGGACATTTGATTTCCAGAACTCTTTGGCTTTGAAAGGTCTCCTTCTCTCCATTCCACTCGAATCCTGTCTGATGTGTGTGTGCTTCCTTCCTCCCCACAGCCAATACAAGAGTTGCGCGATGTTGTCCTCAGTATTCTGAAAAGCGCCAAGAGAATAACAGAAGGTAATGACGTGTGATGTTTCTGTCCCCCTTCCCTGTGAGGTGCCAGTGAGGCCTCGTGGCCATGGAAATTTTTTTCATGGACCCCAGTTTAAGAACCCCTCATTTAGAGGTTAAGAGAAACTGAGTCTCGGAGGACAGGTTAGGCAAGGCAGTGGTTTCCCATTGTGGAGTGAGACAACATTTAACTAGGAAGTCAGCCACCACACGTTCATTCCCTATTTCGGTGTCTCTAATCCACGTATAACTGCGTATTTTCACTGCCTTTTGGCTTTTGGATTTTTGTGCTCAAATACTTAAACTATTCTTGAACTCTGCCTTTCTTCTCGGCCTTGTGTACCTAGGAATCACCAGTGAAATTAATTCTACATCTGTGAAGGAGGTGGCAAAGGAAGAGACATCCCAAGAATTTGATTTTCTCCCTCCAAGAGAGAGAGTCCAAACTGTAGCTGCTCCCCAAACAGCCAAGAAGTGTAAAGACAATCATCTGATGCCCTGTATCAAGTTGCAGATCACCCCCTTGCCAAGGTAAGGATGTCCTCAAGTGTGCCCTGTTGCAGGGAGGCCCTCCTTCCTAGTCCTGCCCTACTCTTTTTTTTTTTTTTTGTTAGGCAATTGGGGTTAAGTGACTTGCCCAGGGTCACACAGGTAGTAAGTGACAAGTGTTTGGTCTGAGGCCGGATTTGAACTCAGGTCCTCCTGATTTCAGGGCCAGTGCTCTATGCACTGCACCACCTAGCTGCCCCCTGCACTACTCTTGTCCCCCAAACGCCATGATCGTGGTGGTTGTTACGATTTCCCTGGTGTCAGCCAAGAGGACTGAGCCTGTCCTTGCTGCTGGAATCCAGAAGACCTTCTCTGAGGGACACCAGGTTATGAGAGCCATGGAGAGTGTATGGCTCGTCTAATCAACTCCTGGTTAACTGTAATAGTTGTTATAGTATATAAAGTGATAAGTATAATCAATCAGCAAACCTTTATGGGAGGGCAGGCAGTATGGGACTGGCACATCCTAGGCATTATGGAGGATACATGAGAGTAGGGCAGGCTATTTGGAGAAAGAAGCTGTCCACACATGTTAAAAGCTAACTAGCAGTTGAAGGAATGAATCCCATGGTCAACGCTGTCTTGATGGTAGAGATCTAAGGACCACAGGAGTCCAGAAGAGGGAGGGCTCATGGGGCTGGGGTGCTCAGGGAGGATTGAGGTAGGGGGGTGACGAGTTGGGCTATGAAAGATGGCCAGGCTGGAGGAGGGAGAAGCATTCTAATGTCCCCATGTGGCCACAAGCTAAAGATTTTAAAGCAAGTTGAATGAAGCTGTTTCAAACTTACAAATGAGCCCTGTCTTATAAAAACATATTTATCCATCACTTGTTTGGAATGCAACACATTTTCCCATAGAAAAACTGTTACTGACGATGTTTAGGCTGCTAGGCCAGCCCCCAAAAGCCTCTTTAATCCGTCATGGATCTGAGGCATAATTCCATATTAACACAGCTCAGAACTTAACTGCTCTGTATAATATGTTGCCTTGAGAAAATATGTTCATGGTGACGGCAGAGAAGGCCAGAAAGACCCTCCCCCTGCCAAGCTCCGGGCCACTGGGGGTGGGGAGTAGGGTGAGAGGTGTTAAGACCTGGGCCTCCAGGATGGAAAGAAAGAGGAGAGAAGCAGGGGACTGGACAGTCTGAGGAGAAGGGAGGCTGGGGTAAGTCAAGGTTTGGGAAGGGGAGGCAGCTCTGGGTCAGGGCTTTCCCTGCTCCCCCTTCCTGCCTTCCCTTTGCCCTCCTTTCCTCCCCAGCTGTTGCCATTGAGCCTGGCCTTGTGGCAGGCGGGATGACAATCTGAGAGTGGAAGAAGGGCCTCAGCGGTCCCAGAGCATGGTAGAATAGATGTCATCCTCTTCTCCTTTCAGTTCCCCTCTCTTTCCACTTTGCCCTCATTCTAAGCTGTCCTGTCACCTCAGTCCCTGCTTCCAACTGGCCCTGAGGTAAAGTGAGGATGGGGGCTGGGGAATCAGGTCATAGACAGGGTCAGGTCTGGGGCTTCTGCATTCAGGGCACAAGAGAAGGAAGAGGGCATTGCATGGGGGTTGCACAGCTGGGAGGGTCAGGGGCTGCAGGAGGCAGGCACGGGCCAAGGCAGTCCTCCATACATAGGGCAAGAGCCTGAATGTGAACCACAGTGTCGTTGGCCTTTTTAGGGAATAAGGCAGTGCAGGGCAGCCCCTTTCCCATGGATCTTGCCTATTCCTGCTTAGGATCTAGGAAGAGAAAATCCAAATGAAAAGTGACCCAGAAGTGTCCCGTTCTCGCTGTCTGGGATAAGCAGCTGGGCCTCAGCTGTGGCGTTTGCCCTTTCCCGTTCATTCTCATTTACCCACAGCAGCAGAGGTGGGGGGGGGGGCACCAGCGCACAGTCCAGAAGCCCCTGTTGTCAGAACCCACCAGGAGTACCTGAGGAAGCCCGTCCACACCCGCTTACAGGGCACCCTGGGAGGTGGGGAAGCTAGCTAGCCTGAGACTTAAGATGGGCCGTGAACAGGTGAGGGGTTTGCAGTCTCTACAGCAAGGGCCGCCCCTCCCCCCAGCCCCTGCCCCTGCCGTTGTAGCAGACTCGGGCACAAGGGCTCCCCGTCTTCCCTCCCCTGCAGAACTCCTGGAATGCCTGAGAAACAAGACGTGAAGCTCATCACTCCTGTGCGGCGCTCCTTGCGCATCGAGCACGCGAGGCCTGCTTACCCCGACGCACTTCAGGAGCACAGCACGGTGGTGGCCTCCCTTGACGAGCTGTCCGGGGTGACAGAGGCCGATTGCTTCATCTACTGCAACAACGAGGCTCTGCCGGAGGAGACCGAGCTGCAGATCTTTGGGGCATTGTAGCTCCTGGCTCTCCTGGAAAGGGGCTCGGTGCGTCAGAAAGCCCCGGTGGGAGCCCTCCCCTGGCTGGGCCAGAGCTTCATCCTAAGGGACCTGGATTCATTGAGTAGTGTGACCCGTGCCCAATACCTAGCACAAGCTTAGACTCACTAACAATTGATGAGGCAGGACTGGAAAATATCTGACCCTCGAGTCAGTATTTATTTTATCTTTGCTATTGCTGATGATACCATCAGTGCCCATCAACCCGAGCGCTGTAAGCTCGGCCTGCACTTTGTATCCATTTGTCATTTGATCCTCAACAGCTCTGTGAGGGAGAATGATTGTACCCATTTTACAGATGAGAAAACAGGCTTGCATTAAGTGGTTTTCCCAAAGTGACGTAGTGAAGGGGCACAGCCTAGGATTCAAACCTAGATGCTCCTGCTTCCGTTCCATTGTGCCTTCTGGCATGCCATGATTGCATTGTTTTCTGTGATTCCCAACTGCTGGCAGAGGCAGAAGGCCAGGTTCTCTTGGCAGTCCTACATGGCCATGAATCATGGACTAGAACAAGCACCTACTAGGTGCCGAGCTCCGTGCCAGATGCTCAGGATACAAAGGACCTTGTACTCTGCCGTCACCACCTTGGAAGAATCAGAGCTACAGAGAATGCAAAGGGCAGTGGAACAGTGCCTGGTGCAGCATATGCCCAAGAGGTAACAAGACACACGTGTGGCCAGGATGGACAGCCCCGAGAATGAGGGAGCAGGCGTGAACGGCTGCATCTGAACAGCAGCACATCGGAAGGACAAGAGCACGGCCTCTGGGCCACAAGGGCACCAGTGATGGAAAGACATGGACCAGAGGTGCCCAGGGAGGGACGGCACCCTGCATTAAGGCACAGCCTGGTGGAAGCATGTGCCCTCACCTCATGGGGGTGGTGCAGAAGTGGGTCTTGGAGGGGCCTGGCAAGCGTAAAACTATTAGCATGGTGTAGACCTTCGCAATCATATCCAGTAGTACAAAAGGTATGGAACTGAGAGCTGAGAGACAAGGGTTCTAGACCCCCAGAGTCTGTAGAGAGACACATCTAGAACTGGGAGCTGAGAGACGAGGACTCTAGACCCCCAGAGTCTGTAAAGAGACACATCTAGAACTGGGAGCTGGAGACGAGGGTTCTAGACCCCCAGAGTCTGTAAAGAGACACATCGAGAACTGGGAGCTGGAGACGAGGGTTCTAGACCCCCAGAGTCTGTAAAGAGACACATCGAGAACTGGGAGCTGGAGACGAGGGTTCTAGACCCCCAGAGTTTGTAAGGAGACATGTCTTCATTTCTCTGTGGAGTGAGCAGGGAGTTGAGTGATGATCTAGTTGAGCTCCTTCATTTTACAAACAAAGAAATGTCTTTAGAATGGCTGGGATCCTCGATTCTGAGCCAGAAGAGATCTTGGAATTCTAATCTAGTGAGGAAACTGAAGCCAAGCAACTTAAGTGACCAAGGTCACACCGAGAGCCAGGATTTGAACTCGCTTCCTCTGCCTCCAACTCCAGCACCCTTTCCATTGTAACTTTCCCAAAGGCGCCCAGCTAGTGAGTATTTTCCAAGCAGGTCGCAGAATCTCAGAGCTGGAAGGGACGAGAAAGGCCGTCTACTCTGAGCAGTACAGAATCAATGACAAGGGGTCCTCTAGCGTCTCCTTGAAACTCTTCCGTGAGGGGAGCCTGTGCCGAACCACGGTCAGGTTTCCTTGGATGTTGTCAAAGCTTAGCTCTTCACATCTCTTGTTGTCATTTTGTTCTTTGAGTCCTGCCCACTCAATAAGCGTGTGTTGACCACCTCCTACGCAGGTGCACTTCACGTATGTGAAGACAATGAGCGTGTTCCTGCCAGTCCTCTTCTTCAGCTTAGGCATCCCCAGTTCCTTTGACCAACCCTCATACGGCATGTTCTCCCTTCCTCCTATCAGTCCTATTGACCTCCTATTCATGTTGATCTATGCTCTAACCGAAATGAGGCACCAAGTTTTAGCACAGTAACAGTAAATCTGGCAGGGCTTAGCGCAGCTTAGGAGGGTGCTGGCAGTTTTGTGGTGACAAAAATAACTGTTGACCTCTTGAGCTTGGAGACCGTATCTTTTTTAGAGGCGTTATTGCCTAGTCACCCATCACTGGTGATCCTTCCAATAGGTGATGAGTGGTGAACAAGAATGTTGCACTTTATGTTTATCTTGACTAAACTTCCTTTCCATGGATTTTATCTATTGTTCTAGCTTGTTGGGGTCTTTTTGGGTCCTGTCATCCAGATGTTACCTACTCCGTCTTTCTTCATGGCATCTGAATGTTTGAGAAGCCTCGCTTCTCTGCGTTTATCCAGGTCACAGAGAGATAAAATGTTGGCCAGCACAGCACCAATGTAGTGGAGCCTTCCACTAGAGGCCTCCCCGGACATTTACACGAGTCCACTACTAACTGTTCTTTGGGTCTCATCATCCAGACAGAACTCAGTCTGCCCGACTGGACTCTCCTAGAGCCCCCACTTCTTGGTCTTGCCAACACGCTGGCACAAGAGGCCTCATCAAGGACTTGAGCGAGATCTGAGTTTACTGCATGTGAACTAGCATTTTCCTAGTCTCTCTCTTCTTCAGATGGGACCACATTTGCCCTCTCCAGCTTTGCAGCATCTCCCTCATGTTCTAGGATCTGCAAATTTCCCCAATCCCTAGGATTTCCTTTGGGCCCGGTTGCTTGAACTCATTAAAGAGAGCCAGATACATCTGCTCTTCTCACTCACCTTGAGTTTTGACTGTCTGCTCATTTTTTCTACCCTTCCATGACCAGAAGCGGAGTATGAGTTAATTAGTTCAGCCTTCTTTCCATTTTCTGTTAACATCCCATTCACTTTCCAGCAGCTCTATTCCTTCTCTGATAACCTCTTTTGCCTCCAACCCCCATTTATAATCTTTGGCATTCATCAGTGGCCTCAGCTCATTCTGAGCCTCCAAACCCCCATTTATAATCTTTGGCATTCATCAGTGGCCTCAGCTCATTCTGAGCCTCCAACCCCCATTTATAATCTTTGGCATTCATCAGTGGCCTCAGCTCATTCTGAGCCTCACCTCTGTTCATACTACTCCTACAGGCCTGTGGTGCTCTATTGTATTCATCCACAGTTACTTGTCCTTGCTTCCCACTTCTGGGTGGGGCTTTGTACAATTGTGTGTGAGTTCCCAGTGTGTTCACATCAGTCTTGTAGGCAGCTCTTCATTTCCACGCTCACTCAGTGCTGCCCTCTGCTTGTGTCTTCAGAATTTCATTCTTGAGAACCTTTAGATCTCTCTTGACTGAATTCTCCCCGAGAATATTGGGTTGTTGGAGCCGTCCTATCCTTTCTCTGAACCCCTTTCAAATCTGCTCTGCCAAAATGCATGGTTCGCTGGAGAGTATGCCTGGCTGTCCTCTTAGCAGGCAAATGAACGAAAGACTAACGTTATCTGGCATCCCAATATCACAATTATGAATGTTTGCCTCTTCAGCCGTCCAGAGTGGTATGTCCACAATCACATGATAGTGAAACTTCAGACAATCTGAATCCCACTGCCACTAAACCTTGTGTTTCTCTTTCCAGGGTTGGCAGAAGTTATCAAGAAGGTTAAAAAATAGGATGCTTCTCCAATATTAGAATAGCCCCACTGACCACGTGCCTGTCTTATTACAAGGCCAGGTCTCACCTAGCAACGTAAAGCACAGAATCAAGGTCAGGGTCGTTGGGCCCAAATTCCAGCTTTGCTTTTATCTTTGAAACTCAGTTGCCAATCATTTGGGGACTTCGCTTCAGTCATCTGGGCCCTGGAGACTAAGGGAACCTTTATTAGGGAGGAAAGATTTTATCCCAAAGATAAAATTTTTGTCAAATATTTGCAGGTTCTACTGCAAGAGAGCTTATCCCTGTATAGGAAGCCCCAAATACAGACAGAAATGTTTGTGTACTATCAAATACATACATGCATACACATATATATTGTGACACTTTTGCTACCTTATTATATTCCTGCACCTTGTAAAAAGGCCTCACTGTATGAGGAGGCCCATCCTATAGATTTCTTTGTGTGAGTTAAAGACCCCATGTAGGCTCAGGCCCCCAATGTGTACTTGTGGTACCCCACACAGCAGAGCCGCAGACTGGCTGGTGCCCGTAAGGCTCATGAGCTAATTCTTACAGCTAGGGGTGAAGAGGAGGGACCAGAATGGTCTTGGTGCTGCCACTGCCCACAAATACGGTGCCTGGGGTTGGTATGTGATTATGTGGGTCCAGGAAACATACATCCCAGGGGGACTGAATTGATACTTGTCAGGGGCCAAATGCAGCCTCATCTAGTCCTTCCTGGGACCAGCCAGCCATGGAGCACATCTCCTTATGGGTATCACTGAATAAAAGTGAAGGACATGTGGGAGAGTGTGGGATAAGTGACTTCTGTGCCAAGGGGAGTATGGTTGGTCCCCTCGGGGCAGATTTGGAAGCAGCAAGAGACACACTTCTTGCTTTGTGCTCAACCCTGAGCATGAAGCTGCCTGCTCAGCCAGGGGCTGTACGTCCCCCTACCCCACCCCACTAGAGCCAAATCCAGTCTATGGGAGTGGATGAGACATGGCAATGAATTTAGGCTATGATTGGGTCCTTCTGGGCAACTCATAATAACCAGCATTTATATATAGCAATGTCTGGTTGGTGAGAAGCACTTTACAGACATTATATCCTGCTCTGGGATAAAATGAAAGGAGAACCATGTAAATATAATGTATAGAGGGAATTGTGGCAAGTGTATGTATTTGTTTTGCTGAACTATGCTTCTTATAAGGGAGAGTTCTATTGGGGGTGGGGGGAAATCACTGGGGAAAAAAATGTTTTGTTTTTAAAGAGCATTAATAAAATATTTCCCCAAAATGTAGTTGGCAAAATAATTATATAGGTATATTTTCTTAGAGGAGAAAAAAAAAATCTGTTAAAACCCTTTAAACATTTGAAACATCCCTATTCCTATTCAAAAAATGTCTCTTACCAATCCTACTTGAATTGTAATTTTATAGCAGGTTGGATAATAGGATGAAAGGGTTAGAGCTGGGAGGGCCCTTTGAGACATTCCAGAGGTTCCCAAACTTATTTGACCTACTGCCCCCTTTTCAAAAAAATTACTCAACACTATCCCTGGAAATCTACTTTCTTTAACCCTTTAATGGTTGGTTGGTTTTTTGAAATTTGCATCATTTCAAAAAATATATTTTTTTAAATGACACATCTTAAATTTAATAATTAATTGTAAATTTGTGATTTTTTCCCTGCATTGAAATTTTGACATCACGTCATGTAACCATATAGCATCATATTATAAACCAATCATTACATGCACATATTCCTGTCGATGCATGCTGGACTTCCTGACAATGCCCGACACGCTCGCCTGCCAACACTTGCTTGTCAAGAGTCCGCTGTCAGCAGACTTGACCACTGATCCGTTATAACTTGCATTTTGTGTGTTTATCTTCCCTTCTTTCCTTAGGCTTCCACTGTCTCATAATTTTTATTCAATGCCCCTCTCTCCAATTGCACCCAAGGCTACTACCCTGCAGCCTTGGATTGTTCTAGCACCTCCCCCCCAAGGGTGATATTGCTCACTTTGAGAACCTTGGTTCTGAACCAACCCACTCTACCCCCTATTTTACAGATAAGGAAACTGAGGCTCAGAGCTTGAGCAACTTGCCCATGGCACCAAGATAGAAATATCAGAGATAAAATAAAGATACAGAGTCTTAAATCAAAACCACTCACAGGTATTTCCAAATCTCCATTCCTGAAAACTCTGGCACCTCTAGAATTTTTCTATATACTAGATCAAATCCAGAAAACCATGTCCAGGATCCTGGTGTATTTCATTACCATCTTGCTTAGCCCATGATTGCTCCAGAGCATCAAATGTTCTTTGCTGCCTCTAAGGCATTGTGCTCTTCTGATTATTCTAGGAGTGAGTCAAGCCTCTGGGAACGTTAACAGCTCTGGCTTTCCCTTTGGGCATTCCGGGGAAACTCTCTGAGGTGAGGTTATTTCCATCTTACAGATGAGAAAATGAGATCAAAGACTGTGAAGCCAAAGCCGGGTATCTCCCCCCGAGGCCTGCTTCCTCTTAAGTCCTGTGCCCATTCCACTACCTGAGAGCACCTGGCTAGATCACTTACACTGGCACCTTGTCATAATGGAATTCATTCCTTTGTTCAACAAGCATTTGACTATGTGCTAAGTTAGCACTGTGCTAGGGGCTAGAGAGACTAGTACAAATGGTGAAAATGTATGCAGTGACTTTCTGAGAAATGAGGAACAGCGAGGTACACCTCCCCCCTGAAAAAAAAAAAAGCTCCCTCTCCTGATTCTATGATTTTTCACTGACTGCCCCCGACACACCTGGCATTTCTACCTTCATCTCCATTTCCTAGCGCCTTTAGGTCCCAACTAAAGTTCCATCTTCCTTTCCCAATCACCCATAACAAAAGTGCCCACCTTCTACTACTAACTAGGTCCCATTTATCTTGTACTATATCTTGTCTGTACATAGAATCAAGCTTCAACTTTTGTGGAGTAACATTTCTAGAAAATGGAGCGAAAAATCAAAAGCGCAAATGTTTTTACATCGTACTTATGGGAAATGGGAGTTTACGTTTCCAAGACCACCCAAAACTGCAACCTTTCCATAGAGATTGCTAAAAATACATTTTTCTGCATATAATTCTTTATAACGAAACATTAATGCTGATAATATGCATTTTTCCTAACACAGTAACCCATAAAATGCAGCACACAAAATAAAATTGGTTACATAAAAAGCATTTTTCTTGCCAGTAATTCCCTAGAATTCTGTGACCTTGTGTGCCAATATCTCAATAATTTAAAAAAAACATTGATTTTAGACAATATTCACTTTTCATAATACATGAAATCTATGGTACCATAAATACTCTCCTCCTTTTGGTGAATCTAACAAAATTCGTTAAAAACCAGCACTGCAGACAGACGTCCTGGCAGGAAGTTTCTCTAACACCTTGATTTTCTCACTAAGCCACATCACTGCACGCTTGGGCTTAGAGCCCAAAGGGCTTGTACTAAGCTTTGGGGGCGTAATTGCAGCACAAAACTTGAGTTTTAAAGGCAAACAATAAAAATATGCAACAAATGAAGGAAGAGCGAGCCAGACCAAGGAAGTGCCGAGGAGGATGCCAGCGCCTAGCCACAATGTATGCTAATTGCCAACACGAAAGTGAAAATGAGGTTACCAATAAAATCACTGGCGGGCTTGAAGTCCTGAAAGTTAAACATGGGAACGTTGAGGATTATTTGTTTGTATGTCGTCTCCCCACTAGACTGTGAGCATCTTGTGAGCACGAATTGGCTTTTGACTTGGAGAGTGTCGATGGCTCAAATTGTACAGGACTCTCTCCTCAATGGTGGAAATTGATTATTTGTCTGCATTGGGCTGGGGGCAGGGGCAGAGCGGGGAGGGAGGGTGAAGGCCAGAGCTGGTGAGAGTGGGAAGAGAGTGAGATTCTCTGATAGTTCAAGTGTCTCCTAACTTCTAGAGAAAAGTCTCTCCAGGTTGCTGAAGTGAGAAAATGATTCTGGTAAGAAGCCCTACTTCCTGCATTAAGAAATAGCATTCAGAAGTTTATCTTGAACCTAAAATTACTTCACCTAGACTAATAATATTTAAGGGAGCAGATAAATATAATTCTAGCCCAGTAGAGTGGCCAAGATTTTGACTCCAACCTCCTTCTGCTTCCCCTCCTGCTAGGAATCAAAGTCTCCCTTGTGGAAACCAAAGGGAGGAGATGCTAGAGATATCTGTGCTTGCCTCCCTGCAAGCCACATCAAGATAGCCATGATAGATAGATACATAGATACATAGATACATGGAGAGATGGATGACGGATGGATGGATGTGTATGCACATAGATGTTTATGCACATATATACACATATATATACAGATATACATATGTATGTGCCTATATTACAGTGGTGTGCTAGAGCTGGTTCATACTGATTCCAAGAGCTGATTGTTAAATCTTCAGGAATTTTTGCAAGCCAGTTGTTAAACACAGCCAGCACCAGCAGTTCAATCAGCTCTGAACAAGGAGTGCTATTTGTTGCTTTGAAAGAATTGATGTCAACCACAGCAAAGTATATTTTCAAAACATTATTGTCTACTTTTAAATCATTGTGACTTTAATATTGAATATTTGATAGCCAACTTAATTGCATTTTGTGTTGATGGTGCTAATACAGCACTGGGAAGACAGTCGAGCTATGGAGTTGTTAGAAAATTTCCCTAAAATCGTCATTCGGTACTGTTTAAATCACCAATTGAAATTATCACTTGATTCCACGTCTGAAGTAGAACAAGTTAATCATTTGGAAATATTTCTGAATAAGAAATTGAAAGAAGAAATTTTTTCTTCTGTTTCTCACCACCCTAATAAAAATCAAACTAAGCTGGAAACAGAACTTAAAACTGAAATTACTGAAACTGGTCCAGGTTAGGGGCATGTAGTTTATGAGCTGCCGCTGCTGTATCTCATACACATCCTGTATTTTATATGAATTTTTCCCTTATTCTGGTTTAGCAAAGAGATTAGCTAACGTTAATTTCTTGTAAGACCTTGCTTTAATGATTGACAGCCTTGAATTTTCATGCCTTTCAATGGCCTTGCAGCCAAGATCAGCTAACATTCAGAAAGTACAAAAACAGACCATAAGATCTTTGGAAAATTTGGAGATTGGTACTGGAAAGCATGAATCTTGAGTTGAAGAGAGGAAACAAGCATTTATTTAGTGCCCACTGTGTGCCAGGCACTTTACAAATATCTCATTTGATCCTGATAACAACCCTGGAAGATAGGTGCTATTATTATCCTCATTTTACAGTCAAGGAAACTGAGGCAGTCAGAGGTTAATTGACTTGCCCAAAGTCCCACAGGGAGTACTAGACTCCAGTCTTCCTGACTCCAGGCCCAGCATTCTATCCACTGTGCCACCTAGCTGTCTCAAGTAGAGGATCTGATTAAGTCAGATAAGTTTAAAGACATTGCACTTAATAAATTTAATGCTTTTCCTAGGAACATGGAGCTAGAAAATATAATTCAACACATGAACTTATACCTTTTATTGAACAGAAACAACCATGAAAGTATTCTCAATTATTTTGATTTACTAGAACCATAAACTTGGCCTTATGAAAAATCAAGTTCACCATGGATAGCTGGCAAAAAAAAAAGTGTCATTTAAATGAAATTTTAAAACATGAAATTAATTTGAACAATTTTCAGGATTATGTAGATAATAATATAGAAATCAAACAATGTTCCAGTTCTTGTCATTATACAAAAAAAAACTAAAAAGATAATTAGCACTATTGGAGTCAGTGGTGCTGAAGAGGAAAGAAGTTTCTGTTTAATGAATATGATTTGTGCAAGAGTGTGACATAGCTTAATAGCAGATCACATATCAGGTTTAATGACCTGATACATTAATTAATATATAAATTTATTGGGAAAAGTTAGTGGATTGGGATGTAAATCCATTTGTCAAATCATAGTTGCAATCATAGGTTGGCTGTGGATACAACAGTTCGCCAAAAATCAAGGAAAGCCTTCTGCGAGAATCAATTAGCTATATGGAATTTACAACAAAGAGTATTATATAGTTTGCTGTTGTTTGTAAATTGTGTGCCACTCATCTTTTATATCAGCAAAATTTATAATAAACTTATATATGTGTATATGCATAATTTTTTTCAGAGACCTGGTTATTAAACATTTAGCAGCTAACTCTAAAT